CCCCCTTTTACACGGAACCAGGACAGTCATCTTCTTCCCCAACATTTTTTACACACTATCACCATAGCAAAATCTTTGCCTCTGAGCTTTTCAGTATAGTGTTTCCCTTGAAATTATAAGGGTCTTTAAGCATCAGCTAAAAATGCACAGAAGACTAACTCCCCATTGAGCAAAGTGGCAATTCTCTTTTAAGTGCATATCCGCTCAGAGGCCTGATCACTGTAATACCAAAGATTTTGGGAAAAGAGGATAATTTCTATAGATTTCCTAAGAATGTTGCTGCAGAACCTGGAGCACCATAGAGCTTATAAAAGCTGGACACCAGTGAGCTTACCCAAGCATTGTATAAGATTTGCAACTAAGAGACGTGTGCTCTCAAGCAAACCCAGAGAGACTACTCTACCAGTGATGAATGTCACCAAATAAAAAGAATAACTTAATGTCTCGGTAAGTTGCCTGCAATGCCATAAGAGATTTTGGTAGGATTTTACATTGTATAGCAGGTTACACCAGCATTTGAGTATCTGACAGATAAACAAACCAGATTGAAGTGGAAATCTTTAGCCAGTGAAAATTTTTCTTCAGTGTAGTTGAAAATTGGTGAGTTCTAATGCTAATACAAAGACATGGGAAAAACAACTGTATTTTGATAGACAGTTCCAGAGTCATCACAAATGTCAAAATTTTAGAAATCCACTAGCTAAGGCAGGGTCATCCTGCTCGTGATGGACTTTGGCTCCTCATTATTCATATCTAAATTATGTTCCCATGGACTAGATGCCACTTTGGATTAAATGAAAGTGGTATTATTCATAAATTTTTATTGGCAAGAGGTGATAGATTTCCTCCAGTGTAAGCCTTTTAATTAACTAGAAATATATGTATAGCTAATCTTTTTCATTTTGAAAATATAGTCGAAGAAAGTAACAATTTTATAAATGTATCAATCCTATTGTTAGTTAAAGCATAGAAAATCGAGGGACCTGAGTGTTCAAAGACAGTGTCAGCAAAACCAATACTCTTTATAGTTGATAAGCAGCATAAAGTTGAAAGAAAATAACCACACTGCATTGTTTTATACAGGGGAAAACTGTATTATCTGGAGGCTTAGATGCTTTGGAATTTATTGGGAAGACAACCATGAATGTCCTTGCAGAAAGTGATCCGGGATTTAAGAGAACCAAAACACTGATGGCAAGAACAGTTTCTCTTTCTCAGGTTGGATTTATTTACATACAGACCTGCCAATGCAGTTTCAGATTCTTTTTCCAGAATTTAAGATGCCTCAGGGAGAAGCCTTATTTATTGCAGTAGATATTGACTAGGCTTATGGACATAGATATTATGCTTTATGTTTGCTCCACTTTCTTTTTCTTTAGAAAAACAAAAGATAACAGAACCACAAAAGCTAATGTAAAGTCATCTTTTCTGCATAATCACATGTGCAATAACAATTTTAAAAAGATAGTATATGTCGTGATAGATGATTGCACTCTGGAGGCAGAGTCAAATGGTAAGTGTTTTTGTAATAGCCACAGGCAGGTATCTTTCAGCATAAACATCACCGTACTACTTTCCTTGGAATTGAGTCATACTGGAATATGACATATGTTTTGTTAGGAATTCAAGTTAGTTTATGAGGAATTAAAGCTGTGAAAAGTTATATCTTAATGTCTGCCTGAACTAATGGTAGCCTTGCACAGTTGTGACTCACGTTTAAAAGTTCAGACATGACAAAGCCAGAAGTACTGTTTGTACGACATTATTTTAGCTCTCCAAACACTGAGATGAGAGAGACTGTGAAAATCAACAGACCTTGAAAACACCTTTAATTTTACTATATTTATTTCCTTCTAGAGAGGAGTAATGTGTTCTTCATTTTAGCGTTTGTATTGTGTGAACAGACTGGTACTGCTGTAGAAGGCCAAAGGCAAGTAACCCTTGTTAAGGCCCACAGGTTTAAAAAGAGCTTTTGAGAATTCCTCCCTGAACAATATGCATGAATTCTTACATCAGATCTGAGGCAGAAAGTGACATAAATCCTTTCTCCCTGGTCATATAACACAATGCTTCCTTTTCAGTAATTTGTACATAAAACTTTGTGAGTGATCTTTTGAAGGTGGAGACTGAAAGTCTGCCATCATAAGTCTTTTGTAATAAATGAATAACTGGAGGCAATATCATAAAGATTTTGAATGATGCAGTATATTAAGGTGAGAATTCACATTTGGAGGCTTACGTATGACTTAAGATGCAGTTCATATGTATTTACCAGCTGTACAGTGGCAAATACAAGAGGCCATTCCTTCCTGCAAATAAAAGGAAGAGAAGATCCTATTCTATATGCTATTCTATCCTTATAAACTAATAGAAGTGTATAAGAACACTCCAAAATATCACCAAGTATATGGAGTGTGGTTCTGCCCCATCTTTGGTAGAAGTCATACCTTATTAGGCCAATCTCTTTTGTCAGTCCTGCTGTCACATAAAACTGACTTCAGTATCTGATAAAAATATTTTATAGGAAATATTTATGTACATGCATTATTTATTCAAGCAGGTAGAAAGGTCCTGAAAATAATATTCTTCCCATTGTGTCGTTTGTGGAATAGATTGCTTGACTTTTTAAGGCTGTGTATGATACACTCCTTTTTATTTTTCTTTCATTGTAATTGGTGGCTAAATTTATATCCATAGCTGACATTGCTTTTGAGAACATAAGCAACATTATTTGTTTGTTCATTGTTTTTTAAAAAAGATGGTTAGCAATTACCATTGGGAAAACCACACTTAGAATACTAGTTAAATATTTTATTGGAGAAGTTTATCAAAAAAAGAAGTTAGATGTTTTAGCTCTAAAATTTCATCTCTGCAGGTATGATATAGTCCCAAATTTTATTACTACTTCCTAGACATGCAGAAGCAGAAAGTAATAAAATCTGTCATACCTACAGCACTACCAATAAACCAACAGGAACGATGTGTATTTTTGCAGCTGTTGCGAGAAGCTAAAGAAAAAGAGAAACAGAGGCGGGCCCAGCAAGTTACAGTTGAAAGAACAGCACACTATGGACTGCTTTTTGATGAATTCCAAGGTTTGTCTCATCTTGAAGCTCTGGAAATCCTGTCAAATGAAAGCGAAGCTCAGGTACAGTATGCAGACAGCATAAATCAAAATAGTTGGTAAAAAATTGATCTTTACATTAATTTCACTCTGCAGGTGTGTGTGGAATGAACACCAAGTTTTCCATCAACTTCAGAGAGAGCTGGGTTGGTCCCACGGGCCAGTCCTTGGCTTCAGGAAATCAATCTCAATATGCCTAGGATTTAACTCCAAGATTAACTTAAACCAAACAACTTCATAACTGAAGTTATTGCTGAATATTTCTGACTGTTTTTGTTAGTACCATACAGAGTGTGTATTTTTAAGCTTGTGACACTATGCAGATTTCTTTTCAGAATTTGCAAAGGGGTTGAAATCTTTCGGCTTTGTATCAGGCAATGGTACTTTTGTTAAGGAATTTCAGACCTATTACACCTGCAGGCTAGTGAATTAAAATGAAGTCCAGATTACTTATTAATTTTCTAAGCCTTCTTTATTGTGTTAGTTTTTAAAGTTACATAAAACTACCCCAGGTTATTATTACTGGAAGTATAGAAATATCTCTCTGAAGAACACACTAATAGTATTAAGGTCTAAATGATAAATACATTTTTAAATTTCAGCTGCCAACTTGACTCTGCTAGTAGATCAGTAGATCTCTGACAGTTGATTAATAGAGATTTTAGATTCCCAGCAGTGATATTCTGTACTGAAGCAGTTTTTCTGAGTAAATTTCTTACAATAAAAGTTTTCTTTTTTGTTTTTGTAATTAGCACTCCTTGCCATCAGGGTTATTTTTAATGTAATATAGCCAACTTATTTTAAAAATGTTTTATTTGCTCTCACAAATAAAATAAGCTTAAATTAATAACAGCTAGATACATACTGTCCGTGTTGGTTTTATTTTTTTGCAATCACATCTAAATGAAAAATTATAAAAAAACCCACCACAAAACAGAAAAGAGGTAAATGGAGAACTAGTTCAGGTTAATTGTACATGTCAATACTATTATTTTACTGCAAGGTACCATGGGGTAAGTAAGACTCGTGCAGGTTTTCTGATGTGCTTCATATTATGTCCTAGATAACCTCTTGTTCCTAGTCCTACTCACTCCAGTGGGACTGAATCCAACTGTGTGGGTCAACAAGTCCAATTCCCTGGTAAATATTCCAATTACCATACACATACAGAGTGCTGTAAGTTTGAGACCTATATGAACAGCCCAAAAGCCACAGGAGGAGTGCAAGGGAGACTGAAGGCATTGTTAATGACCTATGTGATTCTAATAGCAGGGATCTAAAAATATTTTTAAACTTTTATTTTAAACATTTGCATTAGAAATTTTCCTAGCTAATCCTATGAAATGGACAATGCTTAGAGAGAGGGACAAAAAAGTCTTAGGTAGTCCTTCACAACCTGAGTTGTGTCTCCCTAGGCACATCAAGGAGGAACAACTTTCTCCACTCTCACTGAGCCAGCCTGCACATAAGTCAAACAATCTTTAAAAAAAAACCTTGAAAGAAACCTAGAAGTGAAATTTTGTGTCATGAGGAGAAGAGGCATTCCTCTTGGCTCCCACAGGCAGAGAGCAGGACCGTGGGATTAACAATAATTAATAATTGTAATGCAAACAAACAATGAGTGAAAGAATCTCTTTCCATCCCTTTTAGGCATGCCACCCTATGAGATATGCAGGGACTTGCAGGTACCTGAGACATGCAAAGACCTGTCAATACGTTATTCAGAACAGGTAGACTGGTAGACTGTCAGTAATTTTGGTTGTATTTTGAAGGAGGAGAAACAGGCTTTTCTTTCCAACTCTTCCTGTGAGTGCTCAGACTACGAAATGTGCCTGTGCTGTTTTTGCCTGCTGTCCTCATCCAAGCAATCCCAAAATGCTTATTACAGTTTGCAATTAAACCATAGGTTCATAATTCGAAACTAATGTTCTTGGAGAAGTTAGAGAACTGATAATCTTGCAAGGCTGGTGCAATTTTTGTGATACTCAGCATGTTTTGTTGATAAGAACTAAAAATGTGTCTACACTGGAAGGTTAGAGACAAGATTTGAGCATAATGAAGTTTCAATTCCATAGCCTATTTCGGTATGGGGCTCCAAATTAGGATTTTGGAAATGCTCTGTTTTGGTTAGGAATGCTTACTGTCCTTTCTTTTACAGATTCAGTCATATTTAGCAACACTTGATGGGGAGCAGTTGGAGACTGTGAAAAATGATTTAATTGCTATAAAAGAGATTTTTGTTCCGAAGGAATCAGATGATGAAGTGGTGCAGGAACAAAAAGGTAATTAGGAATATGGAGACTTAACCGTATGAATAATTATTACTTCTGTATGTAGTAATTAAAAAAAATTACAATCCCAACTGTAATTTCTGGTATCCTAATATTTTTTATAAGGTGGTCACTAAAATTAATACTCTAAAAGTTCTGGAAGCTGTTCAATGCTTAATTAGGAATTTATTTTGTAATAGAGTGTGAGATATAGAAAATATAATATAAGAAAGTATTCTATTACTTATATTCACTTTTGCATTGGTAAAAGCAAAACAAAAATAAGAAGAAAAAATAATAACCTTTTGGGTAACAGAGGTTTTCCTACAGGATCTGTTTATGAAGTTGCATAATCTGAAAGTTTTTGAGTGTTTTGCAATGCTTTTCTGTTTAGCATTTCCCTCAGTCCTCCTTCATGCCCTTCTTGTAAATAGGTATCACATTTGCTAACCACCAGTCAGCTGGAACCTACAACACATGCAACACAGAGACATAAAAAGATATTTCTTCCATATCCCCTTGATCTTCTTAGGGGTGCTTTGCCCATAAAACCAACATTTTGCAAGATGGTGATGCTTTCTCTAGCCTTCAGAAAAGTTAGAAAAGCTGTGTTAATATCCACACATTCTAACTGGAAAGTCTTTTCTGCTCAGACTGTTCCTTCCAGCATTGCTTACTCAGTATGACTGGTGACTTTCACAGGGAGCTTATTGCTTCTTCTCAGGGAGGACAGCAAGTGCTCAGGGTAAAGTCTTAGAATGGTTTTGTGCTGTTTTTTTTTTTTTTCCCTTGTTACTCTTTAAAACCCCACAGTCCTCTGTGGGGTTGTGAGAAATAGTCAAGAAAGTATCCCCTGCTTAAGAGTGAGGATTCATGAATGATGTCTGTTGTTCCTTAATTTCTGTAGGAAATAGTTTCTTTCTTTGAAACCAGCCCCCAGGAAAAGTTCTGTTTCTTGCACAAAGTGATGCTTTCTCTGGTGGTCAGAAGTTCTGTTTTTTCAGTAAAGCACAGCTGCTGATCACAACTCTGGAAACATTAACCGGCCCTTTAAATAAGCTGGGGCCAAGTCAATGAGCACCTTAAAAAAACCTGACCAAATCAGAGTGTGCTGCAAGCTTTCCCCTGCAAAAGCAAACCAGTCAGCAACTAAACATCCTCCTCTCTGTGACAGCAGAAATAGTAACCACACACGTGGTCTCTGCACCTTGCTGCTGAATGGGTGTTACTCTGGGCTGCAATTCAGGATGACTCACGTTCCTTCAGTGAAATCAGACTGAAGATTTATTAGTACTTGAACTACAGATAGGTGTGATTTCTTAGTATGAAGCTGGATAGATTTTAGTTCCACTGGAAGACACCAAAAGAATAGAAAGATGAATCACTTCTCAAATTAGCTTTCTGTTAGGGCTGAGCCTACAGGTTCTTAACCTGGGACATGCGGCCTTTACTTCCTCCTTCAGCCTCACCCACAATTGCTGTGCATGCAACACCACACTGATAGTGCTCTTAACACTGTATGGTGCTTTCACACCTTCCTTCTAGATAGTGTCCTAGTCTGGGTGCCTTTTCCAGTCACAAAAAACGTGTTATCTTTATTTCCCTTCATGGAGCACAGTTCTATCCGACAGTTTAATGTTTCATTGGTACTTTAGGTTGCCAATCTTTACCTAATTTAAATTGGATTCCAGTGACTCACTATTGACTACATAGTATTCTGGTCATATTTTACAAATAAGTTTAGCTTTTCAGACCAAGGGGTTATCGATGAGGGTCTAGGTTTGAGTTGTTTGGTTTAGGTTTTTTTTTAAAACTGGCATTGTTTACCTGAAAGGACTTGTATGGAACTTAAGCATATTTCTGTGGCATAATTTATATTTACAGTAAGAAAATAGTCTCTGTTTAATGTTACCAAAAATTTTAAACATTGTTTGGCATCCAGTATAGATAAAAGACAGTGAAGTGTAACGACACGTTTGTTGATCAGGATAAAATGCAGTTCATGTCTTGCTGTGAAGAGGTTTCCTTCTAGTTTGTGTCCTTAGCTCAAGGGAGTTAATAAAATTAAGGTCCTGTTAACCACATTAATAGGTTTTACACTTGGAAGATCAAGTCAGTAAGCCATGTGCTGTTGATAGTGGGTTTTTTTTGTACAGAATTATGTATTTTTACTTAAGATAGCTAATCTAGCAAAAGGTAGCAGGCACTGTTAAATTCTGTGGAGGAATTTTGAGGAATTTTAGTTTTAAAACAGGAATTTTAATCCTGCTTGCTAAACAGTTTTAAACTACAACTAACTTACTTTCAATAGGACTTTCATCTGTGCTTCCTAGCTCAGTAAAACTTGTGGCTTTTTCCCTGTATGTAAGGAAGCAACCCCTTGCAAAAGACAGAGGTTAACTAACAGTGTTTTTAAATGTTACATCTTATCTAGCCACTGAGCAGTAGGTGAAAGCAAGTTAATTGCCATTTACTGCTAATTTGTTGCCACTTTGTTATCCTGGAAGTCATGTTATTTATAAGGTGTCACTTGTCAGTGATGTAAGTATTCAGAAAAAAAAAAAAAAAAAGCCTAGCAGGGAGGGGAACCAGTACTTTGCATTCAAGTGGGAGAAAGCCAGATGTATACCCTTCTCTCTAACGTTTCCTCTCACTTTGATTATGCAACCCTGTCGTATATTTTTCACTGCAGCTCCTCTTCCTTTCAGTTATTTATGAAATAATGAGAGGAGATTAGCTGAGAAAGTAGCTTTACCTACATTTTCAAAGCCATTAACACCAAAAATTTAATATTTGAGGTTAGGGGAGGCAGTAACTAAAGTGAGCATTGAATTGAATATGAATATTGACAATTTTGGTAATTTTGCATTTATTCAGTGAACTACTTATCAGTTTTCAGGATGCTGCAGTTTATAAAACAATTTGGCATTGTTTTATTGAAAACAAGTGAATTCAGTGTATGCAAGAGGTGCTGTATCGCAAAACCTGGAAATCCAATTGCCAAAATGTACTGGTAAGGGCAGTGATGAAATGAACTCGGTGCGTCTTTTAAGCCTGTCAGAATCCAGTCTCCTTGACCTGTTCCCCTGCTGTTAAAGGGACGAAGAGCCTGAGAGCTCAGTCTCTTTGTCATTGCAGGTGAAGATATTTTTGTGCTAAATACTGATTTATTTTATGGCACCAAAGACAGGCACAATCTTTAGAAGCAAATGTCAGATATCCTTTGCTTCAAGAGAGCATAATCTAAGTGTTAGATGCCACCACTTCTCCACATGTTGCAAGGTACTGCAGACTGTAAGCAGTTCTACCAAAATCCCCAAAGTCATTAGAGACTAATGGCCCTCTGATACTGAAAATTTGCTTAAAAATGGAAAAACTGGCCCTACCTAGTAAGTTAATTAAAAAAGTGGTAATGCATCAAGATAAGAAATTAGTTTTTGAAGTAGCTGGACTTTTATCAGACTCAGTTTGGAGACTTTGACCTTTTAGCATCATCAGACTAAAAAAAAAAACTGATTTGGTTTATTCTGCCAGGAAATGTTAATGAAAATTCCAAACTCAGTAAGTGCACATGAAGAGAACCAACCAAAATACCAACTTTTAGGAACGTAGAGCATGATAGAGTATGGCAACTGTGAGTAGTCAAAGAAATATATATAATAAAGTTTGAAAACTTACAATACTTAGCTTTGCTCATAAATCTTGTGAAATAAAAATGCTGATTCTTTAAGGCTTATTACTCCAAAGGAGAACAGAAAACAGTCTTCATTTAAGCAAAGTTCAATTTTAAAATAGAAAGAAAACACATCTCCTAGCTGTGGTTTACAGACACAGCAATAGAGAACATATTTTCCAATATGTTTCCTCTGAAATTTATTTGTATCTGGCCTTGGTGCAGTTTTTGTGCCTTGGTTTGAAGAAATAAGTCAGTATTTCTTCTTTCATTATTTTGTAGGTCAGGTATTTTCATCAGATAACTAGGGATCATGCAGTTTCTTCTCCTCTTACCTGCTTTTGTGAAACTTAGTAGAAGTTAGAATGGGGTGGAAGGAGTAGTTAAAGTGTCAAGCTAGCGTATCTGGTCATACAAGTATCCCTGTTGCTTGTTCTTCTCTTTATTTGGGCAAACAGACACCCACACATTGCTTTCTTGTGTCACTGTCACCATTTTTCAAGTGCTAGAGTGCTTGGGGAAACTATACGACTGAATGTATATCATGTAACATATTACAGTGATAACACCCTAATAAAAATTGTCTTGTTTTTTCTTGCAGCAGATATGGGAGAAGAGTTTGTCAGCATGCTCACTGAACTGCTGTTTGAATTGCACGTTGCTGCTACTCCTGACAAACTTAATAAGGTTGGCACCTGTTAGTGAGCTGCCCTGTTTCTTGGACAAAGAGGCTTTGTTTTGAAGTCTGACACAGAGCAGTCCCTAGCTCAGCTTAGACAGTTCAGAAAGCAAAGTACAGGAGTAAAATGATGAATAGAGAAAAGCTTTGGTAGAAGGAGTGAGATTAATAAGGCAGTGCAGTTGCAGTAGCGAGCTAGCACAATGGGCCATGTTAAGACAGCCTTGAACTGGGGAATGTCTCAGCAGAGCAGAGCTCATGAGCACAGCAGATTTGGTCTTCTGTATGGGGAACAAAGGTCAGAGTCAGAATTATTTTTCTTGCTCATTATGTTTCTTTTTCTGAGGTACTTCTCCAGACCTTAGCTAGAAGCAGAGTCTTGGATTTATCTCATCTAGCTTCAGTCATCTAAAAGTTAGACGGCTAGAAGCTAGTCACATCACTAAGTCACATTTGTACGATCAGGCCCGTTTAAAGGTGATTCACCTGCTGATCTTAGGCTCAGATGAATGTTTCTCTCTCTAGCAACATAGTAGAATATGGATAACTAGCTTAGGTTTAGGTCTGAACATATTTTAGTTGACTTCGTGTTTTTAACATCATAAATTTCCTACTAACCATAACATTAGTCTGAAGTTGTATAAAACTTGAAGGCTTTTCCACTTTGATCTACTTTCACACCTGGAAAGGCAGCTGAAGATACAGTGATTTTCTGTTTATTTTTCATTTAAAAGTTTTGTACATGTCTCTTATATCTCCATTTTTTCCCCTTTTTTTATACCACCTTGTTATTTTTTTATTTGGGAAAATTATTTCTATGTAAATTCCTTTGAAAGATGCCTCTTTAAGCTGAGATATTAGTAACTTTGATATTAATGCCAATTCTATGTATTGGTTAAGGAATATCATACCCATAGAGAAATTATCTTGGGCTGATCCATCTTTCTGCAGTCAAAAATGCTTCTCCCCATAGTTTCTTAAATATACACTTAACTAATTGCCATCCAGAGGCTTGATATGTTTAAATTTCTGAATGTATAAAGGAAGCAATTAAATGTATTGTTAATTAATGTTCAGAAACATTGGATATTCCCTGTTTGAACTGAACTTTGGGATTGGGTTTTTTGTTTGGCAGGCTAGGAAAAAGGCTCATGAATGGCTGGAAGAAGCAAATTTTTCCACCCCAGGAGACACAGAAGAGAAGCTAAAAGAAAAAGCTGGAGAACCTGGTGAAGAAAAGACTTCTGAAAAAGAAGAAAAAATTGATAGTGATAAAACAGAAGTAGATAAAAAAAAAACTGTGGAGGTAAAATAGCTTTTGGTGGATGTTTCATTAAGCAAATTGTCATACTTTGATAAAATTATGTCTTTATCTTTGTGTATTGGTTTTATATATTGTCCTTGTTTTTTAAACTCGTGGAAGTAATTAATAAATATATATCTAACTATTCACTGTCGACCCAATAGGACACATACATAAATATTTTTACTGCTAGTCTGTTCCTACAAGTAAATATCAAAGTATCACACTGTTTTTATTTTTTCTATGTTTTTGTGTGCTGCACGTGTTTACACGACATACAGCGAGCTGAGGGATTCTCTGGTGTGGTGTCAACAGCACACTGACAGTCATCTCTCAACATTCCTTGGCATCTTTTTCTCCCAGTGACAATACAGGCAAATAATTCCCTGTTTAAACTCTTACATAGTGTAAATCACAGACACAACAGAAATATTTAGCCAATTTACAAGTTGTTCAACCTTTTCATGGAAGATAGCTCTTAAGGCTAAAAGTTTTTTGTCCATTTACACAACCCCTCTTGTTGATGAGGTTAACCGTGATTCAATATTTTACAGTTAGTGTCTTTGCCAAGATTTTCTGAATTAATTCTAATAAAATATTTGTCATGTTGCCTTACACAAAAGGTCAAAAAAGGAGACAGGGTTACACTAATTACTGATTTATTACAGATTTCTGTGCAGTTGCAGGTTTCTGGCTGGCATCAGCTGCTACTGCTAGGCAGAATTTTTTATCATTGCTGATAAAAGCCACTTTTTTATTGGAAGTATTATCCATTTCTACTCTGGAGATTCATCTGAGGGATGTCTCGATACTTTTGGCTCCATATGAAAGTAATTACGGCTTACTCTAGAGTTAAAGGATCTTTATTCATTAGGACTAGGTTTAAAAGTGCTGTGTTGGAAAATCCAAGAGCCTGACCTAGTTCCCATCCAAATACACGGTAGAGTTGTTCTTACTAATTTTACAGGATGAGTATAAGGTCTGTATTTTCTAATCTGTGGCTATTTAATTTTCCAGTGTTGTTTGTGAGGGTGACATTATGGCTGATATTACTTCACTGTGTATGTGGAGGCATTTCCCAGATGGGGTGGGTAGGGCTCCTTTGTTTCAAACTCTTTTGTATGTACATATCTAGTTGTATATTTATCAGTGTTGTTATTATTGATTATATTATTCCCTGTTTTTAATTTAAGGAAATGTACATGCTGTCCATTGAAAGTCTGGCTGAGGTAACTGCTCGTTGTATTGAACAACTTCATAAAGTAGCAGAATTAATTCTACATGGGCAGGATGTAGAAAAAACAGCTCAAGATCAAGCAAAAGTATTGACAAAGTGAGTATTATGCACTTCATATACGAACATACGTTTGACATTTGCTTAAAACTCATGAAGTTCTGTTCACCTGTTGGCACTTGAAGGCACAGTAGGTTCGTGGATCAACAAACAGCATTGGCTTTAGAGGTCCTGGTGCTATATTTTCTCATCTAATAAAGGTACAATGGCTACCTCTCATTTTTTGACATGGCTAACTGGAACAGGACTTATTCACTGGCTCAGAGTTGTTCCTGCTCCAGCAAGTGAATGTACCGTGCTAATTTGGGTTGCATTTTCTATTCTCTCTGCAAAAGTTACTGTACTAACATATCTAGTATTTGGGTTTAGAGTGCATGATGCACTCCTGTTACCTGCCAGTAATGTCATTATCTAGTGTTTCATTATCTAGTGTTTGTCTGCCAAAAATATACAAAAATCAATCTGTATTTCTAAACAATAAGACCACATTTGTCAGCAACTTTGTAGTACACCATGACAAAACACACATAAATTCAAGAAGCCAATTTATCTAGTGGGACTCAAAGTTCAGATCTCAAGCTCTTTATACTGATCAGTTCTACCGGTATCAGTGAGTTTTGACGTTAAGATGTTGTAAGTACTCGAGTCCTAAGTAAGTAAAGTGTCCAAGTGTTTATCCTCAGGAATGCTAGCAGCAATAGCAAAATCCATAGGAATACTTCAGTCTAAAACAAAGTGCTTGAACAAATATTAGACTTCTTAACAACTATTTATCAGCTAAGGTATATGGTGCACCTTGCAGAATGTCGTTCTGTATGAGGCACATGTGAATGTTCAGCAAAACGGTGAAAGATCTAGGAACAGAACTAGATGTCCTTGTTCTCTTCTTTTAACCACAAGGGTAGTTCCTCTTTTAGTACACAGTAGATGTTTTATTGCCTAAATAGGAAACTTCTTGCCGCTTTCATTAAAATTTATTTCCCACAGTACTTATAGCTGTGTTGCTGCAATCATTAGAAAAACAATAGTTAAACTAGAAGTTTAGAATTTAAGAAATTGAAACGTTGCCCTATCAAAAAAGGTTAATGATGAACCTACATGACATCATTTTGCTGCTGTAGTCAGCACTGAATTTTTCAGTGGAGGAATATAAAAACTATATAGTGAACAAAGTGTGCTCCAAAATATTTTTTTTTTAAATACTAGAAGTAGAATTGCATTAAGAACATTCTTGACATCCAAGATTTAAGTTTGCACCTGGGACAAGATCATAGGGTTTTTATTTGTTGACAGGACAAGGATATATTTTTATATTTGTCTCTCTGTTTTTTTAAACCAGTTTAACAAGTGCCATGTGCAATGAAGTTTCATCTTTATCAACGAAGTTTTCCGTTTCTTTAACAGCAGCTGGGGTAAGATAACAGCATTTTCTGTTTCATTTGGGCTTTTTTAAACATAGATCACTTCCTGAATCAGAAATTATTACCCAAGTCTGGTGGCTTTACATGAGATACCAGAAAAGAGGGCACTTCCTTCCTGAGATCCAGAGCACGGAACATTTTTACAGCAGATTCCCTGTTGCAGAGAAAGTTTATAAGCCTTGTTAGCCTGCAGTGCATGCCCTGCCTTCTAAAATCTCTCTCCTGGACACCATTTCCCTTTTTTTCATGATGACCACTCAACACTTCTTATCTTCTCATACTCAAGTCCAACAACTTAATGATACTTTCTTCTCCCACTCAGCCTATCCCTTTTGAATGCATTTGTGTAGAAGTCATTAACAGATAACACTTCCAGTACCTTAAGAGGGTTTCACAAGCTGCCTTCTTAGCCTTTGCTAAATCCCCTGGCCTGGGGCCACTGTGTTTTCAAAAGGTTTAGGAGATTAGAAAATCTGTTTGGTCCTTCATCTTAAAAAAAAATCAGTCTGTCTTGTATCTCAAGCTACTCTGTTTAGGAACATCCATTTATCTGTGAACATCTTTGCTAGAAATAGTATCCTGCCTGTCAAGGTGTTTCAAAGGCAACTGACATCTGAGCATTCTAGCAGGATCCAGAGGCAAAAATTGTGTTTTTGCTGAAATTGTTCTGTAAACATCAGAGAAGAGCAAACTCTGGCTTTCCTGATTACTCCGTGAAAATGTGAATCTACATCAAAGGAAATTTTCCTAGTTCTCCCATGAGCTCTTCCAGCACATCTCTGAGCAAGTTTTTTCAGAGTTATTTGTAGAGAATATGATTTACTGGGTTGCTTTCATTCTGAATAATTTACATTCCTTCCCATTACTCATGGAGAAACTGCTTATTTTGCATTCTGGGATTGTATTTTAGCATATCTTTGTGCGACACTTGCAATAAATACATGCACAGATGTATAAAAATAAATCTCACATGAAATATTAAGCTGGCCCAGCTCAGAAAATTGGAAACTAAAGCTTTCAATAAGCATTGCATTAGACTTTGTTCTTACTGACTCAGTTTTTAGGACCAGATTGTTTTTGTGGACTTTTGTGTGGACACAGAAGAAATTGACTACCCGTTGCCAAAATACTCTAGGAGACAGTTTTAGTAGGGCAGTCTGGTGATCTTACTGTACCATCACATCCCTGTAAGCTTTTGGAAGAAGATATGGGCCCTGTGCTCACCACTAAGAGCAGGAAAGTAAGGAGCACCTCTCACACAGGACTGTAGAAAATCTTCCTGTGTATACCAGTGGTTTGACTTCCTCCTTAACCTGCCAACAGCAGCCAGGTTCACAAACACATCTCAGTATCCTGCAAAGAGCATTAACTCATGGCAAACTGAGAAATGGCTTAGAAGAGAAGATACTGGTGCTTTTTTTCAAGCACAATGCCATCCCTATAGCTGTAGCTGTATAATTCAGGCATTAGTTGTCGTGCTGGCTGATGTTTCACATAGTCTGTCCTGCTGGTGACGTTTCTGAGTGAGCAGTAATGCAGAAGTCAGAAATAGCAGCCTTGCTTGCTACGCAAGATTTCTTTCAAACTTTAACTTATTGATTCATGCAATCAATAGTTTTTAATTGATACTGCTCTCTATCTGTTTTGGTTTATTGACAATCAACTAAATAGTGCACTATATAATGGATTTTCTAGTAACTGGCAGTAAAATTGCTCTTCTTGTCTCTAACCATCTTCCCTTTGTTCTGCCATCTCTCTCTAAACTAAAATTGAAGTGTTGCATGTTTTTTTAAATCTGTAATTTGAAAGCTATAAGGTCATAAGTGGAAATCCTTCAATTAAATTAATCACTATTTTGTTTTCCTTTGTTCTAAATAAGTCTGCCACTTAGTATTGAAAGTAAGCAACTCCAGCTGGAGGTTCCTGTCATTCTAAAAAACAAACACAATGCAAAGACCAGTAAGAATAAAAAAAGGAAGGGACACACTTGCCATTTTAGCAAGCAGAGGAGCTGACAAATCTTGGTTATCTAGCCTCCAGTAGTGTACCTGTCTCATCCTACCGGTCTTTATTCCTATCTGGTGGCTGAGAAAAATGCTATGCACGCTGAGCTATGTCTGTTGGCCAGCCTGTGTTGACCAGCTCAATATATACTGCTTTCACTTTGGAGTTTCACCTGTTTTTCCTTCTGTAGGGGAGCTAATCTGGCTATTTCATTTCCTCCTAACCTCAGATATTTGTGGAACTTCTGAATTTCATTTTCCTTCTGCTTTTGTGGGTTTTTTTTTTTTTCTTCTTGTTTCCTTGAAAGTGAGGAAAGGGTTAAGTATTTTGGGGGGAGATGAAAAGAGCACTGACAGACAGATAGACAGACAATGTCATGACATGAAGCTCACATCCATAGGAAGCCAGGCAATTTGAAACCAGTACACAAATAAATGAAACAGTAAAACTCTGGGCCCGTCTTGGTTCATAGTGACAGAAACACATAGTGTCTACTGAAATGTGTATGAAATGTAGATGCGGTTATTGGGAATACTGTGATAAACAGTCTGAATAAGAACCCAGGTGAAGCAAGACCTTTATAGAATTCATAAAACCACTTCTTGGATATCCATATATTTCTGTTAAATGTATTTTCTGTCCTGGCATTCCATTCTATTTTCCGGTTTATAGAGCCGTATGAAGGCAGAGGTTAAATGAAAAAGTAAAACCCTGAGCCCGTCTTGGTTCGTTGTACTCAGTGACAGAAACACATAGTGTCTACTGAAATGTGTATGAAATGTAGATGCGGTTATTGGGAATACTGTGATAAACAGTCTGAATAAGAACCCAGGTGAAGCAAGACCTTTATAGAATTCATAAAACCACTTCTTGGATATCCATATATTTCTGTTAAATGTATTTTCTGTCCTGGCATTCCATTCTATTTTCCGGTTTATAGAGCCGTATGAAGGCAGAGGTTCTTAACCCCATCATCAACAGTGTGCTGTTAGAGGTAAGCCTTCACTTTTTTCACATTAGGAAATGTTCTAGTAAAAGGATTTTGAAATGAAACAGTAGCATTTATGCCTGAAGAAAGAACTACATCAAAAGTAATGACAATATCATTCCGGCTGTTCAGTGCTAGCTCATAAACCTCTCGGTTTTGTGTTCAGCCTCTCCCACAAATACTATAGTAGCAATACTGCATTTACTGAGGATTCTTTAGGACTGTATGACTGAAGTGAGTCTGGCCAGCTCTTGAGTTCTGCTGCTGCATTGGTCAGAGCACAGCAGACAATTTGCAATGTGCTGCTCAGCCCTTTTCTAACCGATTCGCAAGTTGCCTGGAATAAGTCTGTTCTTACTGTTCCATTGCCTACTTCAAATATTGCAAATTACTTTTGATTCACAGATAGTTTCAGACTATTCTTTTCTTTACAACTTAAGTTGCAGGTATGTCTCAGTGCTACCCACCCACAGGCATTTAGATTTTTACAAGGTTTCACAGTCTAGCAGCAGGCTTGGTCAGCACGTGGACAGCCATGTGTCAGACATCACCAAAGTGTTCGTGAGTGATTATTAGACACCATGATCTTTGAGTCACCTCTTCTGTTAGACACCATGAGCTATTTTTCATTGGAGAAGCCCAGTGAGTAAAATGTACCTCAGTTTTACTGAGAAGAGGCCAAGAGGGAATAATGCGCTCGTGAAGTACCAAAATGTGTGCTAGCTGCAGCACTAATTCTTTCAACTCTCCTAATTAGATCACACTTCTCTCTAAACATAAATAAATATATAGTAATGATTACAAATTTTCATTCTGTATCTAATAGCTGTGTTACCTTAAAAATAAGGAATATACTGTTTCACAATAAGCAGTTTTGCACTGAATTAACAATGACTTTAAGGAAAATCATGGTAAGTTGACTAGAGCTGTAGCAAAGATTACTACACAGTTCCTTTTGTCATAGGTAGATTTGCTGTTGCAGCTGATGTATCTTTCTGAGCTGCAGGAAAAACAAAAAACAAAACAAACAAACAAACAAACAAGCTGGGAAAAGTCCAGAGCTATGGAATATGATATTTTATGCTTCTTAAATCTCATATTTGTATACAAATGTCTATTAGTTCATGGAGAATTACAAGTTGCTCCACTGTTCAGTATTAGAAAATCCAAAAATAGTACTATGTGTTAAAACCATTATAATAATTCACACTGTTAATTTCAGTGACACTTCTTCCACCCACAGCAAATTCAAAGTTAGTTCTGTTGGTGGAAGGAATAGCTGGTTTGTATTGAAAAAGTCAGATCTCCTTCTGAACACTGGCATTTTATTCTACTCACATTACAAACAAAACCGTCCAAGAGTTCACACTGAGGGGAAATTAGATTTTTATATAGTGATTCAGGCTATCCTTGCTAGCTGTAAGCTGTTGTAATTTATAATTTTTTGTTATCTACAGATTCTAAAATCTTCTGTGAATACATATGCCTATACAGCATGACTCAGATGTAAGAAAAAAAGGAGGGGGGTTGTATTTAAGAAGTACAGTGTAGTCCCTGCAGTACGTGTCAGCTGTACTGATGACCCACATGTTTTCTCTCCCATTAGGGCTGCAACAGTGCTACTTACATTCAGGATGCTTTCCAGCTATTGCTTCCAGTTCTGCAGATTTCACATATCCACACCAGCTGTTTGAAAGCACAAGAGTGACAGACTCCCAGCAGTTGTTACCACTGGGACCTCGTGTCTTTAGTGCATGCAGAGAGAAGAGAAGGTATGAGAGATGTCTGGCCACTTAAAGTCCCTCGAAGACACTAAACACGGTTTTGCACATACAATATTGAACAGCATTTAAAAACTCTCAGACTTTTAGACTTTAGAAGTAGTTAGTAAAATGAGTAATTTCTTTTCTATCAGAGTGTATCCTTTGCATTAATTTAAACTGAAGTTTACTGATGTTAACATTGACTTAAATACAGATTCTAAACGTTGACCTTTTTGTAGACAATATATGAAAAAGATTAGAATGTAAAGTTTTTAAAACACTTCAGTGCAAATGACAATTTCTATTGTTTGCATCCTAGCTGTCCGTTAAAAATGTTTATTTCAGAAGTTGGTTTCAGTATTTAATTTCAGCCAACATGAACAAATTATTGTAGTGTTGTGCTTGTTAAATATTATTTGCAGCAGAAAATAATAATGTCATCGTAATAACATGTACCACTTACTTACATAACACTTTGTATTGAAAGTTGTACAGTAATAGGTATTAACTTCAGTAAATGAAACTTATGTAGGCTATGTGTACAGAGTTGTACGGAAAAGACATCTTCTGAGCCAGTTAAGAGTACAGGTAAAGGTCTATATTTGCTGACCCATAATTTTATATTCATTTATGTCTATTTCTTAATTCCAATAGCTGAACAACTTTGCAAGCCAAAGTAATCTTCTTAATATGCAAGGAATAGAAAATTTCCCTTTTGTTTGGCAACCGAAACTCTCCCAAAATAATCTCCTCTCAGATGTGTCACCAGGTTAGCACTTTGGGCTCTAATTTGGGCTGTAAGCACTAGGATCTTTTTTTATCAAATGGAGTTTCTCATACTATGATTCAGAAATACAGTTTTCGGGCATAGAAAAAAAGTGGTGAAACAAAGTTATGTGAGAATTGCTTTGAGTGGGAAGGTCGTAAGTCAGAGCCATCCCCACTTCTCTGAGGCAGTAGCAGGCAGAGCATAAGTGAGCAACAAGAATGACATTTCATAACAACACTAGCAACCATGATAATTTGTCCATATCCTTAGCTTAAAATCCTGAGCTGTGAACCCCAGAATCTGTTTAGGCTAGTTCACCTTCTAGACAGGGAGAACCTTCCAATATTCTACATAGGCTGTTGTCCCGGATTTTCATTGTTTATTACATTTCTTTCAGCTATTTTTTTTGTGTTTTTCCTCTTGGTACACTCATTAATTGTATTTAAATGCTTTTTAATTGTAGTTAATATTTGAATATGTTTAATCATAGAAGCATAGTTCATACATCATAAAAACAATGAAATAGAGCATGAGGAAATACTACCCTGTTTGTTAGCAAAGAGAAACCATGTATCTGCTTTGCACATGGGGACTCCTGTTGTGTCCAAATAAGAGAGGAGGGAAGGTTCTGTTTGTCTCTCACACTATTGTGGTCCCTGTTCTGCTGGCACACGCATTGTGACTTTTCCATCTTTTGCTATTTAGAGATGAAATTTTCACTATCCCCGAAATAAGGTTAATTACACAAAATCTATTTTCTGTCACCCTGTAATTTAAGAGATTTGAGATGTCTTTCTGGGTAAGTAGGAGGGGTGCAGACTCAAATCCACTTGCACAGAATGTAAAAAAATCCCTTGCAGCAATGCAAACAAAAATACAAAAGCCCCTTGGGCAGCCGAGAAGACAAACAGAGCTTGACATCCATTGGTATTTATGGGATATTGAACAGCTAACATGGGAGAAAGCAGGATTCAAAAAAATGCAACCAGTAAGCAGTGTCACTTGCCCAAAGTTAGGATACAGCTCCCATGAGCTGTTCCACCCTCAACACTTCTTTCTGCCATGGCTTTATTGCTGAAATCCTCATTTCAAAAGTGTATTACAAAATAACATTTAGATGATGCAGAACATTTCCTCTCTGGCTTCTCCACTGTGAGGGGAATAAGCAGGCTCTCCTCCAGTAGTCCTGTCTGGCTGCTGGGAGAGACACACACTTGGACTTACTTGGCACGGGGTCATTCTCATAAACAGTGTTTGAACCAGAAGAACAGCTGCTCAGTGTGGCTCACTGAGGACCAGGTACTTGTTCCATATGCCTGATCATGAGCAGTTTTTGGTTTTAAAGATCTGGACACCAGGGAAAGCATTCAATAGCTTGTAGAAAGGCCTATTTATTTGAAGCATTTTTTTCTATGCTGACAAGCAGAATAAAATACCTGGTTAAAAACTTGTTTGTTTTTCAAATGAAGACTGTCAAGAAAAGTCTAGTGTTTTCACCAATCAATCATTATATCCTGGATTTATTTTTACTTTAATTCGATCATTATTTTTCATCAAGAAGGCTTTCTGTCCATGTTGGAGTAGAGCTCTGCATCAGGTATCTGTAAACATGATATTACTGCCAAATGAGTCATAGAACACAGCAGCAGCTGTTTCCTATTGTTCCTGTGCGAGTTAATGTTTTCAGATATAAAGGAATTCAGTTATTTTTTCATGCAGATTTTTTTTTTCTCTCTGAAATGCAGTGCAGAATATACAGTGTTAAATCTATCAGAAAAATGTGTTGACTAATAAGTGGTGCCTTTTAGCAGAGGCTGAACAATGCAGTATTGAAAGCCTCAGGGGATAATGTCTATAATCATCGAGGGGCATTCTTAAGACAAAAGCTGCTTGCCTGAGATATTCCTTACTAGAGGTTTCACTGTCTTGCTTAAATTATGTATGTATTGAATAAAGTACCTTACCCTAAAGTAAAAGAAAGCATGAAAAATAGAATGGGGCCTTTATTTACACCCATAGAATGTAGAAGGAAAACAGGGCAGAGTATGAGCATCGGGATACTCCACCTGACCTCACAGGCAGCCATCTTGTCCTAGGAAGAATGAATGTTGTATCTTTAAATCAATTTCAGGTAAAAATACTTCAGTAGAAGAGTACTATGTGGATGTCACCAGACTCTTTTGTTAACACTGGTTTGTATTTTTCCATCAGTCAAATAAATATTTGAGATACTGAACTGAGACAGTATGCTAAAGAAGAATGTTGTGAGAAGTAACGTGGCGGGAGGTGAAGTCTTTCACTTGCTGATTTTACCTTTGGAATGACACTGTTTGTTGCTTTAAACTTTGAAGGGAGAGCGTTCATTCTTTCATCACCACCTTTTTCCAGGTCAGTACACTGAGTGTGCATTGGCACTTTGCAAACTTCTAGCTTTTAAGTACTTCCTTAAGAAATAACCTAAATTGCAAAAATTACCTGATCTCTTGAGCAGATGTGCTTTTCATGGCATTCTGTTCCCTTTTGAACGCACTGTTTTACGCAGAGACAGGGGACTCAGGCATTTGCACTCACCCAGTTGAAAAATTTATCAAGATGAAGCTTCAATGTCTGCAAACCTACCACCTTGCAGGTGATCCACTATTGCAGGTTGTCGCTGAAGGGTGAGCTGGAGGTAAACTATTGGAGAAGCCATTTGCCTTTTGATGTTGTTGTGTATTAAAGGCATTTGCTTTGTTTTTTTTTTTTTTAGGCAAACAAAGCAAGCTGTGTTTTCTGCTTTTCAGGGTATAGTCTATTCATGTGTAAAGCCCTCTTCCCCATGATTTGCTCCTACACTCCAGCATCCACGGCTTGAGACAGCTAAACAAAAGTACTGTCTCTTCCACTTTTTTCATGCTGCTTATATCATCCACCGAAGCCGTTAATACCTTCTTCTAAAATGTGCTTCAATCATATAACACAAAATCACAGTCATTACAAGTTGAGATGCTTTTTAATGACGTCTTGAGTGTCACCCACCAGTCAGGACTCATAACAACTTTAATGAGTCTGAAATGGCACAGTATTTTGAGTCACAAATACATATTTCCACCTTTTCTGATTCAGAGAAGTGTTTTTATCATATAAGCAGTCACCCGGCTCACAGGATTATCTTTGAGACATTCCAGTTCTATTCCAAATGACAGCCCTGTCCTTTCTGTTAGTCTCAAAAGAATGTAAGGAGTGGAAAAGGACTTCCCTGAGTTCTTATTAAAATTGTCTCAGAGCAAGGCTTAATGTGACACCATCAGCCAGTCTGACCTACTTTGAAATTCTTACAGTCTGATTGCAAAGCCCTCTGGACTTTAAACACTTTTTTTCTGTCTCAGATCAACCTTTGTTGCTGAAGCTGTTTTTAGTGTCTGACCTGTACATTTTCCATTCTCTGACTCCTGCTTCGGTATTCATAATATTGACGATGGTGTGCGGTTTTAGAATTAAAAAGCTGAAAATAAAATGTCAAATATGTATTAAAAAGATGGGAGAGGAAAAATTATTTTCAGATAAAAAAAAAAAAAAGGATGTGCTCTCAGGAAATAGGAGCAATTTTCAAGGTTGGATTAGAAAAAGCTCTCTAAAAGAATTTTTCAGCATTGTTCAGAATAAACAAGAGATGACATCTGATTAGTTCCAGCAGAACTCGAATAACAGCACTTCTGAAGTAAAGTGAAAATCTGCACAAACTTGAAGAAAGTAAGTCATAGCTAAGAACATTCAAAGAGGAAGAGCTCAAAGGAAAGAAGACAGTTAATTTGATCATTCTGGATCTGCAGTGCTCGTTCCCCCCTTATTGCCTGCACCCTACAGGTCCCTGAGCACACATCTGCTGCAAACTCCTTACTAGTCTCCCCACTTTGATCTCCTTTTCACAGCTTGCCTCTACAGTCGTGTGAGGAGGTGCTCTCACAGACTCAAAGCAGAGCACTAGCTATTTGTTCTGCCTTGCAAACATTTCACGCAAGGAGGGAAAGAATTTTACCCATGCAACACTACAGTAATGTGCAAAAAGAGTCTAAAAAAGCTGCAGCAAGGACTAGCTGTGGTTTTCAGTGAACTTCATTTGCTGCTGCTATGAAGAGGAATGCACAAAAACGTGACCCCACCAAATGTATTCTAGTCTTCTTCCATGCTCCAGGGCTGAGGCTGAAAGGCATTTGACAAAAGGTGCCAGTTCTGGAGTCAGACAGCGTCACCTAAATGAAAGCCAGAACACTGGGTAATTCAGGCAGTTTTTAAACACCTGCAGAAGCCTCCCAATCCATTTACTAGCCTTGGAAAATTGCAGCCCTACTCTTCCTGCCCTTGCTTATCTCGACCTGTATCAGCAGCTTAACCAATGCTGGTATTTAAGGTGGTCTGTGCTTTTCCTCCAGTCCCTTTACCAGTTCTGCCCCGTGCCCCTTTTGCACATTTCTATACGCCGCCAGTGCTGCCTTCTGCACCGCTTTTGTTCACTCCACTCCCCTCCACCTTCACGTCTCTTTCCTGACGCTGGCCTCTGAGGTTCTTCCCTCCTTCCCATCATCCTGTGCTGGAGAGGCGGCACCAGGACATCCTTCCTCTCCTCCCATGCTCAGTTTTGAAAAAGCCAGAAATGAAGACAAGGGGTTAAGAGGGCATGGGAGGAGAGAAACCAAGAGGATCTCAGGAGAAAATAGGAAGATGCTAAACATTGCTTTTTAGTCCCCTCCTTCCTCCTCCAGTGTAAGGAGGATGGATTAGGGATTGCCTGAGGTCCCTTTCAACCTGAATTACTTGGGATCACATTTTTTTCTTATGATTCTTACCAGTGTCTACCCATTCTCCCACTGTTTCCTATAGTTTGGATCATACTTGCAAGACAAGGTAAGCTCTGCTCAACAGAGAAAGCTTAAAAGCTTAGAAGAGCCTTTTGGTTTTACTTGTTCTTGGGGGTTTCAAAGGTAACTTGGAAGATGGAAGCTTCCAGGGTAGTAAAACCAAATACTTTGAGAGCTGTGGGATAACTGTGTGTAGTAAAACAGTTTAGCCATCCAAGGAAAAGAGGGAAGTTATAGGCAGCAAGAATAATAGAATTAAATTATAGGAGAAAGGAAATTGAATCAGAATCATAAGAAGTGGGGCTGTCCCTATCAAGATCTCTGGATTACTGAAGGGGAAGAGTGATAGATAGAGCCATCATTTGAAGCATTTAAATGCTGACTAAAATAGCCTTAGCAATTCTGCAGTGATTTGAGACAGATACGTCTCTTCATCTCTAAGTCACTGTTCTACAGTAAGAATGAAAAAAAGAGCCAGAAACAAACTGTAAGTGGTTTATTTTATAGACTATTAAAAAAAAAAATTCTGAAAAGCTTTATATTATTGTCACAGATAAGCAATAAAGCTTCAAAAGCCCCCAAATCAAGAAAGTCAGCATTTTTCTCTGATTTTTTTAAAAGATGGTAACAAACAATAGAAACAAATGCTTCAGACTTATCCAACTAAATATAAAAATTTCCATATGGCCTCAAGTCATTTCAGAAGCTAATGTTCAAAACTATTCCTATTAAACCTGAACTTATTGGTGCAGTATAATGACTGGAGAAGCAATTTCAGAAAGCTTCAGGAGGGAAAAGCTATATAAATGTAAGGGATGGAGGTTATGAAGTATTAACATGATGCTAAATCGCTGCATGTCATATTTGCAACGGGCAGTTTACAATCTGTTCATCCTGATGGATTTAGCACGAGGGAGCCTGACGTCCTGGTTCTGCCATTCCTGTCTCTGCCTAGAAATTGATGGTTAAATTGTACCCACAAATAATGCGTTAGCGCCGAATGAGTTTGGGACCCTGCTCAGCGCAAACAGCTCCACTGCACTCAGAGGAGCAGCAATAAATGGAAAGTAAGGAAAAGTTCCAGGAGATAATGAGTCTGAATACTAATGACCTAAGCTGGTACAAAAGATAGAAATGCAATTTATCGAAAAGTACAAAACCCATTTGGTCTCTTAATGTGTTATTAAAACTCAATAATGACAATTTTGTGGTTTGAAGCCAAATTACTGTTTTTCCACATTTTTTTTTAATCCACTAAGATGACACAGGATTTATGAAGGTCTTCCTGTTTTACTGCAGAAATTAAAATGTACTGCACAATTCTGTCTATCTGTGGTCATTTGGCCCCTTCCTCAACAGCCAGAAATTCTATCTTTTATGCATCTGAGTCACCTAAAGCCTTAAACAGGCTGAAGACTGTGGTTGTTTCAATAAAGTAGAGGATAATAATTTATATCTTTAAACAGACTTTCTCATTGTATGGAGAATATAAAAAACTATTTCTTTGACAGAAAATGAAATTATTGCAAGGATTATCTCACAACCGTATGATTAAGTATAAATCCTGAATGAACTGACAATAGATGTGGAAATTATACTCTCCTGATGAAGTTGTTTTTACAGCAAAACATTTGTCCATCACTTGTATCTTCTTAACAGCAAATAGTTCTGGTGATGGACAAAATGGAGCTTCTCAACGAAAACGCAGAGTTGACATTCTCTTGAAATGACAGATAACATAGCTGGAAATGGAGACGCTGTCTCCTGTTGTGGATGATGTGTCTTCTTTCATACAGTAGTAACGATATTCTGTATGGTGAGATCTGAAACTAAAGAAAACAGTATCAGACAAAAGAGGATGTTAATTAGGTCTTTCCTAATTTATCTTAAATGCTATTCTTTCGGCTTTCTCAGTAACGATTTCTCATCTTTATTACAAAAGAAAACAACATTGTAACTGCGAGGCTGACAAAACAGATGGTACCCATCAGATTGGAGCTGAAGACCTAAGAATGATACCTGCCAGCAGAACGGTGCTTCAGGTACTTGCCACACACAAGTATGACACAGGAACCTGAATGAGAAGCACTGGGTCTTAGTCACTTTCAGGGCAGCTTGGCAACATAAGAGTGGGCAGAGCCAAAATCTGCCCTAGTGAGACCATTCGCTACGTCCACTGGGCTGAACTCTTCCCGTAAGGATGTCCCTCAGGCATCTCAAACTGGGTTTCTGCAGAGTGTCTCCATCTACAAAGTTCAGTTTGGAACTGTCTTTTAAAGGTAGGTGGTGAGGTGATGTCTTTCCTTCAAATAACTGCACAGGCTTCTCTCTCTTCTTCCCTCCTGGCAGCTAGATGAGAGGAGAAGAGTTTTATGTGTTATCTGCCTCCACTCCAGAATTGCTTGCTCTGTGTGAGCTCCTGGGCATCTCTCCATGAACTACTCCACCTGCAGCAGAGCATTCAGAAGTAAATCTGGGGTATTAACAAGGTCTTACTGCAGCTGAGCCAAAATAAGCTAAATTATCATAATGGAAAAAAATAAAAATAGACCAAGCTGAACCACCAGCTGGGCAGAAGAATTTGCAAACCCTTGCCCAACTGCATTTCCTGTACTGCACTCTTATATCGTAGGACAAATTTGGGAATAATGAAATAAGAGCAGCTTTTTCCACATTCTCAAGTGAAAAATAGTCCCCAGTAATCATCAACGAGACTTTGAAATTCGGACTGCAGCTCCCGGAGTAGTGTGTAATGGAGGAGCCTTGAAATACAAAAATTCCCAGATCCCAGTCGAGCCCATTGTAGTGTAGGGAGCCACACCGTGCCGGGGTGGGGGCAGCTCACCACTGCCGTCCTGCCACGCCGACTGAAACAGCGAATGGAGCTTGTCACCCGTCCTGGTACTTCATGTAGCTGTAGGCCCAGTAATAACCTCTGTCTCCCTTTCCCTTTACATTGTAAGAACTGGGTTAAGAAGTGTTCCTTGGCTGTGAAATCACACTGGAGGCAGCAGCTGCTGCACTGAGCTAGAAAATGACAAGTGTAGGCAGGATACAACGCATCAAAAATTGATGCCGGCTAATGGAAGAGTGACTTTAAACAGCCTGCACCGCACCCATTACGGTCCAGCTCTGCGAGCAAGCAAGAGTGCTTCCCTTCAGAAAACCTCTCTGTGTCTGCCTTGGAGAGAAACACACCCTGGCAGGCATTTTATGAAGAGCCCAATAATTGTACCAAGCACCCCAGAATGTGCTCAGCAATCCGATTCTGTGAGGTCTTCCGTGCTGAGAGTTTTCGTTTTAATGCATGATTAAGACTTGAATCTATTACAGAAGCAGAAACGGAATTATCTTTCATGATGTTATTTTAAAAATAAACATGGAGTTGAGTGACAGCTTAAAGCTGCATGTGGGCATAAATCTTTTTTCATACTTATCTACAGGAACTGATGAAAACATAAAAAGTGATGTCTTGCAAAAATGGCCAACTGGCAAACCCAGTATGTCAGTACTGGTTGGAACTTCTGCCTTCAGCAGGATCACACCCCATTTTATGGTGACTTTAACCACAGTGTTATTACTTCTGAGCACTGAAATGATGCTTTTCAGAAAAAGTCTCAAAAGGATAATTGGAAGGATCCCAGCAATTTAAAATCACAACTCCTGTTCTTTACAAAACCAGGCACAATTTATAAAAACAGCTTAACCACAGTCTTCCTCTCGCTCACGAGTACACTTGGTATGTGCCTTTGTGAGAATGTTTTGAACTATGAGTTTCATTTTTTCCCTGCATAATTCGTATCTTCTGTTGTTTGTGTGGGTGTCTTGCTTGAAGACAGAGAGAGGGATTCTTTTAAATATGAAAACATTTTTGTAAAGCCATATAAGGAAAAACAGGCAAAGAATAGTTTTAGTTGCCCTTTCTGTTTGTGCTACTAAGTTCTGCAATGATGGTATTTTAAAACCTCTTCAGGAAGGCAGCAGGGCCTGAGCCAAAGCCCAGGTAATGCCCTAGGTGGACCTGCATTGAATCTTCCTGGTATTGGAATCTGCACAATAAAATTTCTAAATAGCTAGAGGAGTGTATACTCAGAAAACAAGCAGTGATGGTACACTGAATGTAGCTGAATAGTTATCAGCCTTTCATACACGTAAGTCACTTGCTGATCTCTTGTGCCAGCCACTCCTCATAGGAGGTTTGTGTCCATGTGCTTTTTGGTTGTAAATGAGGAAAGGGACCCATCCACTTTTATTTCACAATTTCTATGAAAGATATTTTTGGCTTTTTAGCCACACACGTGCTTCTCCCCTGTCAGTTGCCTGTCTTCAACCTTATGTTCCAGTTTTATAATTCATCTCACCTCAAGATAAGATTGTGCCTTAAATTCTATTTTCACTGGGAAACCAACTTATCTAACTATACAGCTGCACTGTCACTCAGAAGGAAATACAGAGATGTGAAGCACCTTAGGTGCTCAAGGATCTCAAAACTCTTTACAAAGAGAGATGGAAGTGCTGATGGTGAAAGGTGGTGTACTAAAAATCATTTGTAATTGCTGATGTGGAACTTTCATTAGCTTTTATGCAGCCTCTGACCCATCCACCATTTTTATTAAGAGAATTCATGAGAGGCATGACACTAAGATTGTTTCACCTCGTCCTTGGAGCATTCCCTGTCAAAAGGATTGATGCAGTAAATAAAATGTTTGGGGCGATAGTGGCCAATTTGTGTGAATTTGATCTAACAGCATCTCAGAGTATGGTAATGGACACTGTTTCAAAAAAAAAAAGGGGGGGGATGGGGAGGGCATGTACACAACAGTTTGCTTTAAGAAACTGAGTTTTCGTTCTCTCCTTATAAAATGGCAGCACTTCATCCAGGAACTGTCAGATCTGTACCTGTCTCTAATTTCCCCAAGTAAGAGAGAGCACTGTTCTGTCCCTAGTCACTCATGAAATCCATTAGTGCTCCTTTTGATTTGGAGAATACAGTGGTGCTTCCCTTAGACAGGCAGAGGACAGAAGCACTGCAAGAGGGGACTCACAACCACCCTTCATGCTGTACACATGATTTTCCTTCTGCCCTGATCTCTGTAGGACTGAATTGCACCTTTGGGGTGGAAGTGGCCAGCGAGACCTGTGCAGCCTGTCTGCCCAGCCTGCACATGGCTCTACCCCTGGGGAGAGATGGACTGCCACAAGGGCAGCACACAGACACGAGGAGAAGTCACTCCTTGGACAGGCCTTCTGAACCCTCTAAGGACAAGTTTGGCCCAAACCTTCCCTGGGTAATAACGATTTCAGGGCTAACCATCAGCAAAATCATCCTGTTGAATGCTCCAACACCTTCAGATAGAACATTCATCATATATAGGAGTGTTTTAATGGGCATGGTGATTTGACTCTTACTTCCACTTTTATTACTTACTCCACTTACACTTTTCCCTGACTGTTTTAGGGAGTGGCCATTGAATCAAGTGCATTCAGAAATGTAAGCCTCTTATGGGTTCACATACTTAAGTACAGGGAGCTAGTAGCCTCACTCCAGTTTATGAATTCATTATTTATTCTTCTGATCTGCTCTCCCAGAGAGCTATCAGTCTGCCTATCTCTGGCTATCAGTCTAGATTCCTGCTTTCTGTCTTTTCATCCATCACAGATGAGGGTAATTCACTGCTGGTGCTTTTAAAACAAAACAAAACAAAACAAAACACAAAACACAAAAAACAAAAAACAAAAAACAAAAAAAACCAAACAAAACAAAAAAAAAAAAAAAAACAGAAAAAAACCCCAGATACACGTCCCACAGCATTGTAGAGCTGCTAAAAATAATAGTTGATACAAGTGGTGCTCATAAAGTTAAAAGTACCAGTTGATGCCAATAGTGCTTTTTTGGCTGAGGATAAACAGTTCTCACCACCCTGCAAATTCATAAGAAGGTGTCATTGGCAGAGACAGAAAAAGTTGGGTCTCCAGAGCCATATTCTAGCATGTGTTACCCTGAACAGCATTGCCTCTGAATGCAAATATTTGCCCTGAATAAAATGTTCATGCTTCCTAGGTAAATAAAGAGCAGCTGTGAAATTTACAGGAATTCACCTCACCTTTAGACAGGACTAAGGAAATACATCTACAGGTGTCATTGAGAGGACTGTCCTAAAGCATTTGAGAGACTTGGCTCATTCTTTTTTTTTTTCCAGGACAGCTGCTAATATGGTGGGTTAATGAAAAATGGCAGAAGCAGAGGAGGATTCTTAACTTCAGCACTCAGATGTAATAATATTTGCCGTGAAAATACAGAGACATTCAGTGACCTATGCTGAAAAGATTCCCCACTGGCAAAGGTGGGAGTGCCAGAGTTGGTACAATTTTTTGTTAGCTGAACTGGCTGTCAGTGTGATAGTAAGCACCCAGTAACAGAGCACGTGCACACGCACGCAGGTGCATGCACGGATAGGCGTAGGTGTACACACACACAGGATGGAAGTGCATTGCTAAACATGACCACACACGTGTGTGGCCATGGGTGTGGTCACAGGTTTAGCAATATGCTTATATTCTGTGATCAACAATGCTGTCTTAGAAAGGCATTAAAAAGACATTCATTAAAAGAAACATGTCTTTTTCTGATAGAACAAAGAATTCAGCAGGAATTGGTTACCGATCTCTACCCTTCTACTAGCAAGACAAATGCTTCCCTGTTGCAGACTGGAGCAAAGAATGAATAATACAGCTTACACTTTGCTCTCCTGTCCAATCTGGATTTTTAACCTAAATTCCTGTGGCCAAAACCAATGTAGTCGAGCCTTTCAGCTTTTGATGTGTTGGGCTAAGGGCCATTGCCGAGGGCATCAGCAGGTTCTCCAGCTCAGTAGCAATAATGCTGGTGGTAAGGGTGATCTTTGCTTTTCCATTTCCTCCTCCTTAACAGCTTCTGTTACACCAACACACCTCCTTACATGGAAACCAAATAATCACTCTGTGCTGTGGCTCATGCTTTCTCTGAGTGCAGCTTCAGCGAGCTGAAGGTGAGGAAAAACACTGCTCAGTGTGGTTTGCCTGTGCCCATCTTTGATCCAGGGCAGGCACTGAGGTAACTCTAATGAACTGTACAGAAACCAGATTTGAAGCAGAGAGGGGCAGATGTTAACACTTAGGCCCAGTGGGGCTCTCTCAGGTTTCTAGCTCAGGCTAGGACATGCAGCAGGTGAGCAGCTGGTAGCATGATACAAAGATGATGCTGCAAGCAAGAAACTCCTAGTACATATTTCTTAGCTGCAGTCCACCTCCTTTTTGGGAAAAAAAAACAGGGTTTACCAAGTTGATGTAGTGTATAACTGTCTTTGTCAGTTCTGGGAATTTAATCATGTTGGCATTTTTCAGTCTCAGTACTCAGATGTTTGTGTTCAGCTCTTCTATTGTGGCCACCTCCTCTCTGCTGAGCAAACTAGTCTTTAGCAGGGACTTCATGAGACAACTCTAGCACGCATGAGAAAAGCAGATCACAATCTCCTTCCACAGCCCAAGTAAGCAAAAGGACTTCCAGCAAGCAAGCTTTCCTGTAACTGCAGTGTCGTTAGCCACTGAGCCACCCACGAGCATAAGCAGTAAAGAGCTGAGTCTGACCTTACCAGATGAAGGGGGAACTCTATCTTTGCAGGAAGTGATGCAAAACTAAAGCAGAAAGTTCTTTTCTTATTTCCACAGTGTATTTAGCTTTGAGAAATGTTACTCAAAACTTAACATGATGAAGGGCAAGATGTATACCTAAGTTCCTGCCTCTCCAGCCATATCCTTTAATAATCTTTCCAGGCAATATCATGTAACATTACAATTCTGTGTATTCTGCATTAATGCCACATATCACATTCGGCTTTCACCTCACCACCAGCAGTCCTTCTGACAGGAAAACTGTGTTAGGACCTGGAAAGCAAACCTACTTCTATACAGCACAGCACTTGAACAAGGTACTTGGTATTTGAACAGCTGAACTTGGATGATCTGAGAACAGCTCCCATCTATGTCAAGGACACCCAAGTCGTGTTGTCTTTTTCTGCCTCCTGATATCCTCATTTTAAAATAGTAATAATGACAACTTTTCACCTCTGTAAGTCCTCATAAGATCTATGGATGGCAATTGCTAAAAAAGTGGTCAGTTTTTTTAATTACTGTAATACACTGTCCTGTAATCCAACTAGACTCTCTTAAAAGTCAAACAATAATCTAGCTCAATTATTAATTTATCGTAGCAGTACATCATCTTGTGTCAGCAATGCTGCTTAAAATTTCTTCTTCAGCTCTGCTCCCATCATACAACTTCATTGTTTGTGATTCCACATGAAGCACAAAAAACAAACTGCTCTTCAGTACATCAATTTTTTTAACACATGAAAAAGAGCATGATGTGATACCAAGCTTCCATTAAAACTCCATCCATACAATTTAAATATATGTAAAGAAGGACCTTCTTAATCTTTTAACCTAAAAATTCACCATAAACAGGAATAGAATCTTTACAAGCAGCCATAACCTTGCCTATGCAATTGATTTATCAGTCTCTGTTACTTATCCAAGTAGCAACTGTTCTGTTCCTAGGCATTACAAGTATTGCCAGGAAGAGGCACCTCTTACTGCATATTCCTTTTCAGACTGGTTTCCTTACATCTGGACTTCCTGAAACAACTGCTGGAGTAATTGGGCTGGAGAAATTTGTAAGTGGAAGATTAGTTTCAATTCCAAACTGAAACCAACTTCTTGTCATTCATTGTGACTGGTGTAACAATGACAGAATGATCAATTTCTTTTGTTTGGGGAATTTGATCAGCAAACAATTTATTTCAAAAATGAGATTTTCTTCAGAGATCATTTGCAAATTTCTTCTTTCCTCTACCCTTGTCAGAAACAAAGTCCAGGACACGGTATGCTACACCAGAAAAATAGTGTCAGAATTTGCACTGAGGCCTTCAGGGACACACAGGGCTTCAAAGGCTAGCACATTTGTTCATAGATGACTCCTGGTAGCAGAAGGAAAATTGATTTTTTTTTCCCTGCCACCTAGCTCTCACAAAACATTTTCTACAGTTTGTCACCTCATATACCTGGCTAGAAGAAGCAGTAATTTATTTTGAGCTTTATTGCATACTATCAATTCTACAAATATGAGGCAAAACAGAGTAATTGGATTGGTAAGATATTTACTTACCTTCCACAGTTGCTGTACCCACATGACGATGCTCTTGTTTGGGAATTACGGGCAGTATATTTATGGTCTGTGCAGTAAGTGGAATCTGTTCACTGGTTTTCACTATGGAAAGTTAAAATCATTGTTGTCCATATTATTAAACAGCAAATACATCTGCAGAGTATTAAACATTGAATCTGCAAGTTTGAAAATAATTGAGACCTATCCGAACACCAGGTAGAGGCAGACAGCCTTTTTTTTTTGTGGGATTTCAGTGCCCAGAGATGCTGATACATGTCAGGAACTCCCGAAAGTACTAACCATGGTTTGTGTTTAACTTCCTCTTGATACTAGTGCTACCACAACATGTTGATCCTAAGTCTAAATTGCTCCTGGAAATTTTACTAGTAGTGAAAATACAAAGGCATGCAAATTTGGGGTTAAGTAAGAGTCTCCCAAATTACAAGGACCTACATTTGGTCAGTTAAGCAGGAACAACAGAAATGTACAGTGTGAACTTTCTGATTCACTTCTGCATAAGCGCAGCCCAGGTCGCCGCTCAGGAACACATGATGTGGCCTCAGCCAACCTGTCATACACACAGGGGGAGCTCCCGGGTGACATCCCCTTGTTAACAGAGAAGATGGCATGCACCTCAGAAGCAGGGAAAGGTGCGGTGATGCCTTTAGCATGCTGGCAACTCAAGTCCTGAGATGATATCTCACTGGGATACAGATAAAGAAATGCAGAAATAGCATTGTCAGGGAAATGAACTCAGAGTTGATGATCCAATGCATTTTTCATTGAACTACTGTAAAGCACAAGTAATATTTTAACTTCAAGTCCATCTGTCCCTGACCATCCATAACTTCCGTAAGCCTGAGTTCATAACAGGAGGCAGAACTGTGCCACTTATATTTAGCTACAGCCCTTCTCCACTGACTCTGTCATTTGTGCTCCTCTCTTTACCAGTGCAACTAAAAAGTAGAGTTTGGATCTTGGTAGTTAAGCAACTGAATATAGAAAGCAAAGTTAAAATAAAACTGGGGAAGCTTTAAACATAGCAGTGGATGGTGTTTCACCCTCAGGATGCACCTGGAGAGAATGGAAATGCAGGGTAATACTCCCCCCAGAGCCTGCGTGTAACACCGCTCCGTACGTGCGCAAGCCGAGCAGAGAAAAGGCCCCTTGTACACCAGTGCACTGTGGAAAGCACACAGGGGCTACAAAACGCTCCCTGAAAATATCTGTATCCTAGAGATTTTATCCTCCCTTCTCATAAACCAAAAAAGCCCCAAAGAGGTAGTAAGGCTTCACATTTTTCTCTGAAACTCCTGCATCTCAGAAACATGTAAGTGTGTGTTAAATATTGAATACTCTGACAAACTTTGCTTTCCCCAGTGTTACTCACCCAAGCTGGAGAGGAAAAGAAAACTATTCACCTATGTCAGGGACTGAGAAGGATCAGAATCAAACGGGTGATGGTCTACTTGGCCAAAATTAAACAAGCTTCTCCTTTCTTGGCTTTGCTGCTCTAGAAGATGTATCGGGCCTCTCCACTTTGCTAAAAAGGAGACGTATTGCAGCATACAAGGAGTGAGTCCGAATTCACTGGGAGTGCAGCCCTGACGCTGCTGAGCCAGCATTTGCTTCTATGGTCAACCTGCTAACTAGCCTGAAGCTGCAGTGACCCAGCAGAGAGATGGTAGAATTTTGCCTATTTCCTCTCCTCTTGTAGGAGAGGAACTATTATTTTAATAGAATAGCACAGGAAACAATAGAGGAAACTTGTCCTGTTGTTTCTTATGTGCAAATTACAGCTGTCAAGCCCACTTACATCAAATTCTCTGAACGCCGCAAAGTCTAAACAGTCCAGAAAACAACTGCAGTCCAGAAACCCTGAGGCTTTGTTCTCTGAGTTCCTGGTTGTCACCGTGATCCTGCAATGTCCTTCTTTCAGGATGAGTTATAAAATACCACTGATCAGAATTAACTTTGCATTACTGCAAGCTAGACAAGTGAGTCATGGAATCCTTTATTTTTATCCTAAAATATAATGCACCGAGCTGTGATTCCATGAGCCAATAGAGTATCATTGAATACAAAAGAAGTATATTGTTTGAGCAGTCAGAGAATCACAGAATATTTTGGGTTGGAAGACACCTTTAAGGGCCATCTAGTTCAACCCCCCTGCAGTGAGAAGGGACATCTTCTTGAGCAGGCTCAGAGCCCTGTCCAACCCGACCTGGAATGTTTCCTGGGATGGGGCTTCCACCATTCTCTGGGCAACCTATTCTAGAGTTTCACCACCCTCATTGTAAAACAATTTCTAGTCTAAATCTACTCTCTGTTAGTTTAAAATCATCACCCCTTGTCCTGCTGCAACAGGCCCTGCTGAAAAGTCTGTTACCACCTTTCTTATAGGCCCCCTTTAAGTATTGAAAGGCTGCAATAAGGTCTCGTTGGACCCTTCTCTTCCCAAGGCTGAACAACCCCAGCACCCTCAGCCTTTCCTCACAGGAGAGATGTTCCAGCCCTCTGATACTTTTGTGGCCCTAAATGCAGAACAAGGCATTACGTTTGAACTAAGGTTGCCCATGAAGACTTTAGATTATACATGGTTACATTAACAACATGATTCCCTGTCTTCACAGTCCCATTCTAGCATAGAAATGGGAGCAGGCCTTTTTTTCCCCAATAGATCTTCTGCTGCTTTCCAAACGGGATAAAAATAAACAAGAAATGTCATTCTTATGCTAGGCAAAGAAGATCTAAATGGGAATTTATAATGGTAGACTTCTAGTAATTTAAATTCAAACTTAAGCATTACCCATATAATTACACTAATGAAACTACCAGTATGAAAAAACCCTGCTAGGCAGATTCAGCCTAGGTATTAAACACCCCGATTTATGCAATCTGTTTCCTGTGCAACTTTTTTTTTTTTTTTTTTTAAAATAATGTACTGTACAGTTCACACACACTGGCCTGCTTCAAACAAATAATTCTGTGCCATGTCCCCAGGATTATTTTTCTTTTAGGATACAGCTACATGAAAATATGAGAATAGATATATTTAATCTGTTGCCAGTAGAGGAAAAAGTACTGAAGTGGTTTAGGGAACGTGGGCTAAAGGAAAGCTGTAGCAGCAGGGTCAGTACAGCTGCTTTCCCTTCCTCTGGAATTGAGCCTGATTTAAGCAGTGAGCTGCAATGACAGTTTAGCAGTTTCTATCCAAGTTCTTTTAAAACACTGTGGAGAATACCATCTAGGCATTCTAATTGCTAGTACTAATTTAAGTTCTTGCAACACTACTTCTACTGCCTCTTGAAATTGAGAAAGCTCCTCAAAGAAATTCTTGCAATAAAAGTCTTTTATGTTGGATTCTCTGTCATGAACAGAAAGCAAAAAATTTACTTTTCCTCTATGGATTATTTTCCATGTGCTACTACAGTCAAGTCCTATTTTATACAAAAATGCTCCATGTCTGGAAATACAGAGCAGGTAGTTAAAGAATATTGATTTCTTGCACTGAAGAAAAAGCACCCTATACTCTT